AGCAATTCTATTCTGATGATTTCACCAAAAACAATTGGAAATATACTTCACATGGCAAGGAGATACCATAATCACCAAGGTGATTTTCCCAGGACCTATCCATTGAACTCTGTTTGCATTCATCCTTGGGATTTCTCCCAAATGTAGTAAACTCAACCACATAATTTTTGAATGTGGAGGACTGCAATTTACACTCTCCTCTGGTGGGAGAGAGGGAGTATCTTCAAAGAAACCCACCCATAATTACTTACAGTAGCTTTATTCATGGTGCCTGAAGGGTAGGAAAAAGCCAAATTTCCATCAAGAGATAAATAGATAAACAAAATGTGGTATATCTATACAATGGAGCATTTTTTCCATAAAAATAATAGAGCACTGACACATGGAATAGCATGGATGAACCTTGAAAATATGTTGAGTAAGAGAAGCCAGGTATCTCCCAAAGGCCTCTCTGTGTGAAAAGCTTACTCCTCAGAATGGTAAACCTTTAAGAGATGAGACACAGTGGGAGGTCATTAGGTCATTGGGAGTCTACCCTTGAACTGTAGGACTCTGGTCCCTTCCTTGTTCTTTCTTTTGTTTCCTGGCTAAGAGGTAATTACTTTTGCTTCACCATGAGCTTCGGCTATGTTGTGCCACCACAGGCCTGAAGCAATGAGGCCAGTTGAACATGGACTGAACTCCAACTCTGTGAGACAAAGTAAAGCTTTATTCCTTATAAATCATATCAGGATTTTGTTGTAACACTGGAAAGCTAACACATCAGCTGACTAACTGCTAACTCCACAGCGGAATTCTCAACAAGCTTTATACAATCCAAAGAAACGGAATATGAATTTCACTAACAGCACTGTTATTGGGTACTGGATGTAAACACAAATGGTCAATGGAGACTGAGCATGAAAACCCTTAACCCTAACTGTCTCAACATAAGAAGAGAGGTAACTCTTGAAGCCAGGTGTTGTCTTGGGGAGTAGGAGGAAAGATGAAGGCAAGGTCCTATCTGTTTATGGTTTTCTTGCTGCCAGAAGCCCAAGGTGGCTTAGGGAATTACATGATAGAGGCATGGAGTGTGCATTAGTGTGTATCTTCTGATCAATCTCATTCTCTTCTGAAACTACCAGGATTCAATCACAGGGTTTATCTAACCTTTCTCAAAGGCCTTACCTCTAAACACCATAGTCAGATTAAGTTCTCACACTGAGTATCTCACAAAGGGAATTAAACTTCAATATGAGTTTCAGAGGAAACAACCATATTCAAACCATAGTAGTATGTATATTTCAGATTTTAATGAGATGGAAACCAATGTACATGGAGATTGTGTTTATAACCCCTAACTTTTGTTTGAGTTACTTTGTGCATTATGTTAACAGCAAAGAGGAAAGTGATAGACATGGTAAGAAGTGCGGTGCTGATAATAGCATTTCTGGTAACAGATGATGTTACGCTGAGCAAAAATCTACATGAAGTCAATATTCTGTGATGTTTAGATATTACAGGGCCACATTTACCATTCTAAAGGCCACCATGGTTGAGAAATCCCCATAGGCTAAAGACTTGCATTATAAAGACTGAAATGCTCAAGCATTTAATTGCTACTTTCCCAGTAAAGCAATAGTTTTTAAAAATAAACTTCTTGGTAATGTGAGATTTCTAGTAGTGGGATTGTCATGTCATAACACAGAGATCTCTCACAGGTTTCTCAAAAGTGTTTTGAAAACTTGGGATATACTAAACATATGTACAGGTTTCGTATTTTTTCTTAAAAAGTTTACAGGGTCTGTTCTTAAGTTTGAGTTTCCACCTGGCAAGAATCAGTACATTCAGGACTTGATCCAGTCCAAACCCTCTTACTGTCTGTCCAGCACTGAATTTCATTTCACTCATTTTAGATATTATGAATGCTATGGGCATTAAAATTCACACCTCTTGCCATAGCCAAATGTATGATATTCTACCCAATGTAGATGATTTGAACTGATGAATCTTATGGATTGGGTTAGGTGTCAAAATCTTAGACATCTCTGGATGGCAAATTTCATCCATTCCCCAACTCTGAAGAATGAAAGTCATATCAGTGTATCATCACTCTTCAAAAAGAATCTTTTTCTAACCAAGAGAGCATTATGTGAATTAAAATGGATCATAGAGTGAAAATGAAAATGCATGCATAAAGCATTATTATAATGCTGCTATTAAGAGGTACTTTGGAGTTTAGACAAATTTTCTAGAAGTGTTTTTGATGACCATGATAATTTTGGTACAAAAAACACAGTTGAGATCTTAGAAAAGCTGAAAACCATTCTGAGAAATCTGAAAGACCTTCAAGACACTCATTAAAAAATAACATTGAAATTTCTTTGTATTAGATGCCCTAACACATAGATAAGTAAAACCTTAATTTGAAATATGGGTTTTTAATTTTAGAGCATGCATATATGTTTCTTAGCAGCTGAACATGCTTTTAAGAAAAATTGTATCTTCGGGACTTCTGGCATCTCTGCTGATTTAGTACTTTCATTTACCTGAAATTATAAAAGAAACAGAGACATTAAGCAACTGAAGGTAACACAGTGACTCATTGAAGAGAAAAATTAATCAAGGCTTGCTTTGTTTTTTATTGTGATTTGATTTTTTTCAAGGTACCAAGGCCTAGTTAAATAACCTTTTCAATTTTCATTTTATAAAAATTGATTAAATAATGGCTCAAGATTGTCATTGAACTATTGTTATTTTAATTGCATAGCTGTCAATAGCTTTGAAGAGATTCATTAAAGATTGTGATGCAATGTAAGAAATGACTTTCTTTCAGACAATTGATCACTGAGGAGTTTTGAGTGTGGAATTCTTTTAGAACTGTTCTTGGATTGCTTAATAGGAGTACAGCTAATCTCTTGAATGATAATGCAGAATTTTATTCTTAACTTCATGTTTTGTAATAGTTCATTTTGTTACACTGTTATTTTATGTTTTCTTTGCTCTGTCAATAAGTACAAATATTTCTCAGTCTAAAGAGCTCTCTTACTGCTCTCAGTCCAGTCAGAATAAAATGAAATGAAAAAATACTATTTGATATAAAATGAATTCACTCTGGAAAATAAAAAGAGGTGATTTGAAAGATTTACTTGAAAAATCCATTTTCCTGAACATTTTTGCCCAGGGATAGGCTATACAGTGATTTATCATCTCAGTGTCCTGCAGATTATTTACAAATTTCTGGTAAGAAATAAAAATGGGACAGTGGGAAATAATGATTGAGATGATAATAAAAACTGAAATTTGGAGCTGTGGCTTGTCTTTGTTTCAACTGAGACATAGCTGAGGTTTTTTTCTAAGTGTTTTGGAAGATAAAGGAAAGAAGAATTATGGCCAAAAAAGTAAATACAATGATAGGTGAATATATATATTAAATTATTTTCCAAGGAGCTTTTGTGCAAAAGCTTGTCTGATAGTGCACTTCAATACATTTACATCTTGGAATTTTAAAGGATCTATCAGTAAGCTTTCTGAATGAGTTTTCAATTGCACAAATGGTCTCTATTGCATAAAAAGCAATACTGTTTTTTGAAAGGCAGTGTACTTATTGTGCTACCCACATGGGACTATCAGTGCCTATTGGCTACCAACAATTACCTTTGAAATGAAAAATATTGTTTGTATCAAAGAACTGTTTGAGTCTAAAGGAAAAGCTTTGCAGCCTGCCAATCATCACCATATCCTGAGGATTATATTGTTGCGAGTTTTATACAATTTACATGCAGAACCTGAAAATGACTCCAGTGAGTTATAGAACCCCATGAGGTGTTTTCATTCTGGTTAGGTTGCATTTCCTGACACTGCTGACATCAGATTCTCTTTTGTGGAGGTAGAAACCAATGTCTTTGTGCTTTTAGATGTCTAAAGTCTGTCCAGCAATTGTTATCACCAGTGATTACTCCAAATGCCTCTTTCTTCCTGGTTCCAGAAGAATCACCTTTACTAGTCCAGCAGAGAGTAAAGAAAACAGTTATAAATGTCTCCCCAGATTATTGATTTGGAAAAACAGCAAATAGAACATGTCACCTAGATTATAAGAATTAAGTTACTAGAGCTACTAATTTCCAGTAACTAAAACAAGTCTAATAATCTTTGTAAATCAGCATTTTAGAAATTTTAAACCAAAAATTTCTTTGAAAAATCTAAATCTTTCATCATTTATTTTGAAATCATGGATACAAGCCAGGTTGTCATTTCAAAATACATTTTTTTGTTTCAAAATACATCTATAATGTCTTTATAGTACATAGATGTGATGGCAGCAAACTACACTGGAGGCATAAGACATGCTAATGTCATTAAACAATCTATACATCTGCCTAACACATGAAAGTGAGTTATTATAAAGTTTGATATAAACAGATATGTTATTTGATAAATTTATAATAGGATATGTAGTGGAGGTTTAAGTGTTACCAGACATTCATGGGCTCACCAAGGCATTTTTTCCAGGGAAATTTTGTCTGAAATTAATTCTGATTATTAGCGGACAGAGACGCTTTTTATTTTAATCAAAAACACACAGATTTGTATTTCAAAAGCAAAAAGAAATAAAGAGGGAAAGGATTAGGGTGATGTAGAGACCATTATTGCTCTCCTTTATAAAGAAACACATGGAGATTATAAATATTGACTAGTGGAAGAATTCATGCCATAAGTAATACTTGTGTGTGTGTGTGTGTGTGTGTGTGTGTGTTTTGGGGAGAGTGTATTTGTTTATTTTTATTTTGTATACATTCGTGAATGTATGTATAGAATAATTACATCTAGTATAATATATAATGTAGATATAGTAGCTTTTTATTTTATTAGCTTTTTGTTCTATCCCCACATTGTTAGGAGACCACACTGTGACCACAAAAAGCCCCAGCATGCTTTATTCTTTGGGAGCCTACTTTTAATTTCATATAAGTCCCAAACAAATGTTAGTTCAGTAAAATCAGTGACTACTTACTTCTTGGACTGTCGAGTATTTAGGCTTTTACTGTGTGCTCCGAATAACAGAAATATTGACGGGCATAAAAATGGGAAAAGTGATTCTATTTATTTAATTTTTCTGTGTAACAGGAAAATATTCCCCTTATTTGTAGTTTGCGGGAATATCTAGGTGCCAGTGAGAAACACTGTATAATTTGAAAGTCATGTTAAACGGTTGAATTTTGCGAGTTCTTAAATGAAGATGAAACAAAATGATGAAAGGAGAGTTTTTAGAATAAAAAGTGTGTGTAGCTGTTGCAGATCTGGGTGGGTGGTAAATAGAGAAAAATGCAAGATGGTGCCTGGAGGGGTCAAGTCCTGGTCATGGACTGAAGCAGCTGTCAGCGACAAGTAGGTCAGCTCTGGCTCGGCATGGACACAAGCAAATCAGAGAATTCTCGGCTGTGTTTTCCTTTTTAAAATTTACTTATCTACTTATGATAGTCCTGATTCCTGAAAGAAATTAGGATATTTACAAAAGAATAAGGTCAAAGTAGTGGGGGGAGGGGCAGAGGTGAATGAAAAGACTAGGAACGTTTAAAGACTGTATTCAAGCCAATGAAGAGTCAGTGAAATTCAGCATCTGGTCAGGATACTGTAACCAAGTAGATGACAAGAATGGAAGAACAAAGACAAGAAAAACCAGGGAGATTTCCTCACATTTAGAAGCCTGTGTAAGTGGCTGGATCCAAATACGATGAGAAACAAGGCTGGATTGCAAGAATATGCAAGATCCCTTTCAACCTGTGTCTTTTGGGAAAGAAAGAAACCTGAGGCAGAATCACTCCAATGGTTCGATCTAGTGTATTTGATATACTTCCTGTTATGTTATGAAGGTGGGATTCACAGGGGAGTCAAATTGATGAACTTGGCTGAAGTGAGGAGGGAGAAGGAAGTGCATGAGAATATTCCCAGGAAGAAGATAAACAGGGACAGGAAGACAAGGACACTGACATGAACTGATGGCAGCATAAACCAAGGGGTGAGAAGGAAGAATGGAGTAGGAAGGAAGGAAAACATAATATTGGCACTGAAATATTACTTTATATGCCTGGAAAAAGGACAAGAAACAAGCTCATCTTTTGCTTATTTTCAGCACTTCTGACTTTTATCCCCACTAGGGTTGTCCTAGAAGTAATGCTGCTCTTCTTATCTTTTCTTCCACATGTTTTCTTCTTCCTCTGTTCTCTAGGACTTTCCAAGAATCTCAGTGCTGCTGGCATTTTAACATCAGAGTATGTATGTTGCAGAGTCTGTACTGGAACTGCCAGAATCATACTGTAAAATGGTAATTTTTGGAATGCTGAGTATGAATAGTGCCTTGCAATTCTTCACAAGGGTGACACTAAAAAGAAAATGACAAATAAATACAGCTTTGTTTTTATTAGTAGGAAAAAAAATGTTTCATGCCCTTTTTTCTCTTCTTTGCCAGTATTGTTTTCCATCATGACCCATAGGCCTAAGAAACAGAATCTTTTTTCATCTTTTTCTATATGAGCATCATAATTCCCATGAAAACAGAAAATGCTGAGCCTAATTAAAAGAAATGTAAGCTTTGCCCTGGTCAGGGTTACCACAGAAATTTGTGTTGAAGATGGTCTTGCTTTCCCACTCCAGATTCTCTTTCCTTTTCTTTCTTTCTTCCTTTCCTTCCTTCCTTCCTTTCATTTTTTCTTCCCTTCCTTCCACCCTTCAACATTTATGGATTTCTTCTAGTATTCTAGGGATATAGAGGAAAGTTTAGTGAAAAACATCTAATATCTTCTCCCACTGAGTGTAAAGTATATTTTAGATAAGAACAAAATTAAACATGTAATCACAATTTAATCTAAGTGCTATCAAAGGACTAGTAGTGGGTGTTCTAAGGAGTAGGGTATATCTAAATAAACTTTCTCCAAGAAAGTGTTAAGTGTAGTAGACCATAATATGACAAAGTGGGTGTGTTGGGGGAAAGAAAAGCATGGAAGACTAGTCAGGGGAGAAAAAAATATCATATTTGATGTATGAAAAAAAATTACTCAAAGAACTAGATGAAATTTAACTAGGACCAGGCTATTGATTATGATCTTAGGGAAACTGACAAGAGATGTTACCCAAGAGTAAGTGAAAATCAGCCTTGTACCAGCCATGTGAGGATGGTTCAATCTCCAAAAGTATATTTATGCATACACAGTCAATACATAGTAAGAGAAAACCCAATATATTCATATAAATAGATACAGGAAAAAGCATTAAGGTTAACACCATTCACAAAAGTTTCTTGGCAAACTGGGATAAAAAAGGACACTTTGTTATTCTTCCTCAAATTTAAAGAAACATCCTACTTGATAAAATAGGAAGCATTTCCTTTAAAGTCAGTAAAAATATGCCGCTATCACCACTTTTCTTTCACATTTTAATGGCATTTGTAGGCAAAAAATTAAGACAAAAAAGGAAATGAGTTTTAAAAATTGAAAAATAATAGGGATCATGCTCTGCTGAGAAAATCTCCCTCCAAGCTACTAAACAAATAATTGAACTGTAAAGGATTAATTCAACCTATATCAACTAAAATATTGGTTAAAGCAAATATTTCAACTCACCAAACATCCTAGTTGGTAATATAACTTAAATGTGGCAATAGCTTTGTGTCAGTGAATTATTGACCAAAGTAAATGGTCCATGTTTATCTTTCCTCAGTATCTTTTATTATCCAATCTGTCTTCAATTTTCTTGTCAGTTGCACTTCAGTAGTTACTTGATGTGTGCATGGAATTTGTAAATGACTGGGAACATGCCCTGTGAGAGTCTTTTTTTTCCTTTTAATTGTGCCTAGTATCCAGTAGTTAAAAGCTATAATGACCAGATTTTGTTATAATAAGGACTTTTAGATGTTGCACAAGGAATTTGATAGCGATGTCCTCTCTCCTATGAAAACAAACATTTTGAACAATGGTTTTGAATATTAACTATTATCTTGAATATGCAAACAGCACAAAATGTATTTCTCTAGGCATCACTGGCTCTTTGGCCTCTAATTAGTTTCCTTCACTTTGTTAACTCTGTTTGCTGGCATCTGTCACAATGAGGCCAAACTTCACAAGAAACATTCTAAATCTTAATGTTTCATGTACTCTACATTTTATATAAATAATGTTAGGCTTATAAAAATTGCAGGCAGTATTTTTTTAAGCACACAGGTTTATGTATTTCAACTCCTTGCTCAACAAAGAAAATCTGCAATCTAAGTAAGATTTACTTAATTTTTTAAGTCTTAGTTTGTCAGTACAATTTGCATGATAGCACCAAATTTACATATGCTGTGGATTAAATGAGCTAAGGAGAATCAATTAGATAAGACTGCTACTTGGAGCTGAGGAAATGTTGGTCATATCCCTTTACTTTTTCCTTTTACAGTATCAACAATGTATGCCATAGCACAAGACTCTTAGCATGTTTTCTGACCTCTCAAACTATCCATTGACTTAAAGGTATCAAAACTAATACTTCAAACAAAGGGAACAAACAAGAAGGCAAACTCTTAAATAAAATGTTCATTAGGTTAGGAACTTTATTAGACAATTTTCTGCTGCTATAACAAAATGTTCAACACCGAGTACTTTGTAAAGAAAGGAGATTTATTTACCTTGCAGTTTTTGAAATTAAAAGTTCAAGACTGGGTGGGTGCCTGTGTTTGGCCATTGGTGAGAGCCTTCTAGCTATGTTCCAATATGGAAGATGGCATCATGGTGGGATTGTATGCAAGAGAGAAAGAGAAAGAGAGCACTCATATGATGAGACATGAAGCAAGAGAGATTCAGGGCTTGGTCTTTTTAGAACAACTCACTGTCACAGGAACTAATTGGGATCCAGTGAGAACTGCATTCATTCTTTCTAAGAGTAGCAACTTCATTGTCCTACCCACTTTTTACTAGGCCTCAGCTCCTAATGGTTCTGCCACCTTTTAATGCTGCTACAGAGGAGCTCATGCTTCCAGTACAACATCTTTTGGGAGTACACATTCATATTATATTCAAACCATTACGGAGATTATGTTTATTCTGTTCATTACCATGTCTTCACAGGAGAGGGCATTGCCTGTTACACAGGAAAGCTCAATAAAAATGCATTCAATTAATGAATGAAATACAAGGGATCATGAATATCAACTAGTTGAACCACCTTATGCTTTTTAATGAAATAAAATTCACATATCATAAAATTTACCATTTTAACCATTTTGAGGTATTGTATATAGTCCTTTCTAATATGAGGTGTAACTAAAATATATGGTGAATATTTAAATTAAAATTTTCTTTTTACAGTAAGACATATTGCCATTAATATCCCTCAAAATACTCCACTTAACTGTAAGCTCATTTATTCCATCATTTTTGTCACTTTTTGAAGCAGTTCTGGAAGTTTTCTTGAGTGTTTTTATGAGGAGTAATCAAAAATATGTATGAATATTTACAGTGAATGCCACTGTTGAGTGCCATCCAACAGAAATGCAGGCTCTTAAAAACATTATGGTGTGCCCTTGCCCACCTTATTCATGCGGTCTGGTACTGTGTGACCTCTGACTTTTCCTTAAAGTCAAAATGACCACAAAAGGTAAACATTTGAATTGATCAGGCCATTGGAGCAGCCATGACAGCACAACTGAAAACACTCACAAAAGAAGACTTCTAGAGCTGCTTCAGAAAATGGTAAGAACAATTGAATAAGTGCATTTGATGTGAAGGGGAGTATTTCAGAAGGGTTACTATCAGTGTTCATTTTACTGTGATGAACTTTTAAACATTTAAATGCCACTGTTTCAATTACATGCTGTACATGCATACCTTTGTATAGCCATCACCACCATCTAATTCTAAACATTTTGATCGCACCCCCCCAAAGAACTTTACCTTATACTATTCCCCTATCCCATGTACATGTAACAGTGAATCCATTTCCTGTCCCTATCAATCATCTTATTAAAAGGGAAGCTGAAGTTAGGGACAAGACATGACTTCCCATGTCACACACCCAATAATTACACTTCAGAGCTGGGTGTGAACTCTAGTGTGATTTCCTCTCCAGAGCATCATTATGGACTGTGCCACATGTAGATCACATAGGACAATAATATGCATAATACGCATTCTGATTTCACCTGTTTGAATAGACTATTGAGGAAAGGCTCCAGGAGTAGCTGACATTGGTGGAGTTCGTGCTAGGCACTGCTCTAAATGCATTGTAGATATTAGCTTATGTCATCTTCACTACAGCTATGAGAGAGGAGTTAATATGCCATTTTTCAGGTGAAAAAATTGGGGTACAAAGAATTTAAGTGATTCACTTATGGTCACACAGCTGATTAATAATTCATTTATGTTAATATAATTTCATTTTAGAAATAAGAAGGGTTGAAAATAACATAGATTTAGGGACTGTGTAAACCAAGTTAGTATTATACAGCATAGTATTTCTTTTAATAATCATTGAAAGTGTGTGAATTATCTTAATGCATTAATAGTTTTAATTAATTACTTATGAATTTCTGAAAAGAGAATGTAGTATGAAACACTTCTCAAACATTTGAACAAAGACGCTTTTAAAACCAAATTACTGAGTTATAATTTAAGTGCAGGATTTAGCTCAGTGGCACCATGCCTGACTCACAACCTCAAGGTCATGAGTTTGATCCCTGTTACCAAAAAAATAAAAAATTCAAAGGAAATAAACCCACTTTAAGAGAACAACTCCATGAGTTATGAGCTTTCACTATAAGCAAGGTAAAGACCAATTCTGTTAGCTTCTTTCCCAGAAGTTTCCCCACCTCTCACTTCAGGCAACTGCTTTCCATCACTGCAAGCTATATTCATCTCTTCTAGAGTTTCATATATCAATTTATACAGAGTATTCTCTGTATCTGTCTTTCTGCACTCAGCATAAAGACTTTGAAGCTTATACATGTTGCTTCATATCATATCAGTATATCTGCTTTTATTGTTGAGTAATATTCCATTGTATGGATTATATTTATTCACGTTTTCCACTTTGGAAACCACTGACATGAATCCCTACTAAAGGCAGAGTTTTAGATGCTTATAGATTCTTTGAAGGAAGTATAAACCAAAGATGTGATATAGTCAGCAACTCTCTTGGTCATAAGGCAGCTATGACATGAAAGGGGAAAATAGAGCTGTCCAGAACCTCCATCATATTATACATTTTGTTGACTATTTAACATACCTTACTTCATCTAAGAACCACAAAGTATTTTGGGGAATGGATAATTGTGTGTGTGTCCACATGTATGCATGTGTGTATGTGTGTGTGTATTTTATTAAATACAACAGAGAAGTACAAGAAATCTTAATTTCTCCTTAGATGAATCAAGAGGGATTTGTGACAAAATATTAACCGAGCTTCAGGCTATAGATTGATAGCAAGTGTTTTGTTAAATAAAATTATAAATATGAAGGATTAGATGTTGTCTGATTTCTGTTGACCTGGTAATTGTACAGAACTTACAAGCAATAAAATGTTCCTCTATTGTACTGAATCTGTGTCTTGTTTGCACAATTATCTTTGTAACCAGTCTCAGTCATTATTGCAGAGATCGCCTCTTCCCTATTACAGTACTAATCAATTAGGGGTTCCATAAGTGCCTTTGTTCAGATTCATTTTCTTCCTTCAGTTAATGAACAGCCATCTGCAGCTGCTCCTCAGTCTTAATCCATCTGCATGGAGATGCCATTGTTACACACAGCATTCTATAAATATTTCTATGCTGACAAGTTGACTGTAGATGGGGGGGTATCTTTATTATTATTATCCCTTATTAAGAGAGAGCAGATTGACAACAAAAGGGCTCTGAGGTCCCTTCTCTTCTGTAAATTGTCTGTTCACATAATTATATTTCTAGTAACAATATTACAATATGTGCTGCAATAATCATTGTGGTTGTTTGTTATTTGCTGTGTACCACTTCTCAATTCTATGTTGTGTAAGACACCGTATGAGGAAAGACAGGGTTCAGACTTGAAAATATTATATGTTATTATTCTAAGAAGAAATCTCATCAATCTGACAGAACTGAGGTGTTAAAGTAGGTTGGTGTCTTGTGCCATATTTACACGCTATGGATTATACAAAGGTTTTTACCACATATATGTCAGCACCCTACTTACACAGTGAGAATTGTCTAAAGTTTCTATGTTAAAGCAATACATTAGAAGAGAAACATCTTCATTTAAATTCAGAGAATGAATGCCTTTTTAATGAGACATCTTGACAGATGACAAGTTCCCAATTAGTGGAAGGAACTTTCATTACCAATTACTTTGGCTATTTCTACTGTAAAAAGTGAGAGAGAAAACTTGGTTGAGTTTGTTGGGATAAAAATCCATTTATTAGGTGCCTAATATATGCAAATAATTATGTCAGGTAATGGGAATACTGTTGTGAACAAGATCAACATAGCTCCTACCTGTGGCAAGGTTGTGCTCTAGTGGATATTGAATTACTTGCGATTAAGCTAGGGAAGCACGGGATGCAGTGGAGCATGTAATAAGAAGACCCATGGGGGAGAGACATTTTTTGTGTTAGTTGGCTTGCTGTCGTAGTGACAAAAAATATCTGAAAAAATCGATTTAAGAGGAAAGATTTATTTTGGCTCACAGTTTCAGAGATTTCAGTCCTAAGGAACTTAGCCTCTTGTTTTTTGGATGTGGTGATTAAGAACACCATGGCAGAGATCATGTGGTAGAACAAAGCAGCTCAACTCATGGAGAGAGAGAGAGAGAAGGGTAAAGAGTCAGGGAGATGATACACCCTTCCAGGACATACCTATTAGTGACCTGCTTCCATCTAGGTACCACCTCTTACAGTTTCCAGCACCTCCCCATAGTTCATTCAATGAAGCAATTCATTCCTGAGGTTAGCTATCATTATCCAATCACCTCTGAATATTAAGAGTCAATCCTTCAATGGGTGAGACTTTGGCAGATATTTTAAATCAAACTACAAGAGCACTTAGGTAGTTGCCTGATAGTATGTGAATGGTGGCCCCACAAATTAAGTCCCCATCCCAACCATTACATCTGCATTACAATCATTACATTACTGTAAATGTAACCTAATTTGGAAAAAAGATCTTTCAATCCTTCTTTTTAATCTTTTCTAACAATCCTGAGGCAGGGAGACCAATCTGAATTACTGTGTGACCTCTAAATTCAATGGCAGATGTCTTTATAAGACAAAGACAAAGGTCTGTTTGAGACAGACCAAAGAGACGATGCAGAGACAATGAAGAGCCAACAAAACCATGAATGCAGCGATTGGAGTGATGTAGCCACAAGTCAAGAACTGTTGATAGCCAATATAAAATGGAAGAGGCAAAAAATGGATTCTCTTCTACCAAGAACCTTTAGAGCAAGTGTGGCCTTGATGACACCTTAATTTTAGACTTTGTTTTTGGAACACTGAGAGAATAAATTTCTGTTGTTTTAATTTATCCAATTTCTGATTTTTATAGTAGCTGTTAGGGCACAAATAAATTATTTCTCCTCCAATTGCCAGAAGGCAATTTTTAGGAGACAAATTAAAATAGATGATGCTTTGAATTTTCTAATCTCCATTAAACATGAAACTACACCTCCAAGCAAACAGCCCAATGGCAGGAGAGTCCTAACATAGAGATACTTAGAAGGATGTTCTGGTTTAGTAT